GAGGGTTCGGCTGCTGATGCGCCACCCGAAGGACCTGGCGCTGATGCATCTGCGGAAGGCATAGGTGAAGTTGAACAGGATGATGGAGCAGAGGATAAGGTTCCCGAAAGGATTCGGAAGCTCAGAGATCAGGCCATGTCGCTTGAGCACAGGTTGTTTCACTTCCCGAAGAATCCTTTCTGTGACATATGTAATCAAGCTCGCATGCTATCAAGGCGCGTGCGCAGAAAGCCTCGTGATGCCGAGGAAGAGCCTGATCCGTTCGAAGCTTTAGAGTTTGGAGAAGTCATTGCCGCTGATCACATTCACGTGTTTAGATCGCCAGACGACTCCGATGCTCCGGACAAGTCCTATGTTGTGTTGTGCTTGAGGGACAAGTACACTGGTCTGTTTGCAGCTTATCCTGGGAATGATCGTTCGACCAACGCTGTTGTGACTGCCAAGAGGAAGTTTGTTGGACGTAGAGCTTGCTCAAAGCCTGTGACCTTAGTGTCTGATGCAGCTGATGAATTCGAAGCCGCAGCAGAAGAAATGGGATGGATCTCTTCGCCATCCTTGCCTAATCGCTTTCCCAACAATGCTCAACTTGAGCGGGAGATTAGGACTTTCCAAGAAGGTGTGAGATCATCGTTCCTTGAAGCTGGGTTTTCGATCCGTCCCGAGTTGTGGCCCGTTGCTTGTCGTTACGGTGCCATCGCCCTGAATCTGACGTTGCCTTCACCGCAAGATGAGTCGCTCTGTAGGTGGAATTTCAACATCGAGGACTCAGGCAGGGATGATGTTCACATCAGAAAGCTGATCCTTGGCCAGCTTGTGTTTTACCGACATAAGCATGAAAGCAAGTTTGGTCCAAACGCAGCTCCGGGCGTGTTCGCAGGGTGGAGGTTAGAACCAGGTGGCATCTATCGTTCAGTGACCCTTGTGCTTGACTTAGAAAAGCTTCGTTCCAAGATTGGTGCTTGGACTGAGCCGATCAGCGTTCCGGAGGCTGAGCTTTATGTTCGGTCCGGTGACCCTGTGTTTCCCCTTCGCAACGCCGCAGAGCACGCATTGCTGACATTTGCTGATGAAGGCGAGGTGCCTGCTCAAGAACCTCTTCCGATTCCTTTCACGCCGCATGTGTTCACAGAACAGGGTGAGAGGAAGAAGCTTCGTAGGATTTACATCACGTATGCTAGGTTTCGTAAGATAGGTCCCACACCGGGGTGCTATGCTTGCGACAACGACAAAAGCAATCACAATGCTGAGTGTATTGCGAGGTTTGAGAAGGCGTTCGGTAGAGAAGCTAAAGCTCCCGAGACCCCAGTTCCCAAAGAGTTCTTGTCTTACGAGGAGCTCCAGCTACCTAGGCCTCCTGCCCGTCCCGACGGAGATCATCTCTCCGATTATGAACCGTCTGAGGCTGGTCTCGAAGATCCTCTCGCATTGCCTGCCATGTATCGACACCAGAAGCCTGGAGCTCTTGTGTTGTTTGAAATCGCGTCCCATTCGCGATCCAATCTTGCCGGTATTGCCAAAGGGTCAGGCATTCAAGTTGTCTCGATATCATGCGACCGCGTTGATCTGTCTGATCCGGTTGTCATCGATCAGCTCATCAGCCAAGTGTCTGCTGTGCCGGGATGCTGCTTAGTCGGTTCTTTGCTGGGGGACGGATGGGGAGCGAAGTACTCTGGGTACGTTCACTGGAAAGCTCAGAGGACATTGCTGAGTTTTCTTCAGGTTGCATCAGTCATCGTTTCCAATGGTGGCGAGGTTTCTCTCGAATGGCCGCAAGATTCCACGTGCTGGTTGCTTCCCGAGGTTCAAGCCTTTGAGGATCAATTCAGCCTTCACAGAGTTTCGTTCAAGGGTTGTGCTCTAGGTATGGTTTCGACATCAGGAGCTCCGTTTGACGCTCCATGGCAAATCATGTCTTCGAGCAAACGGCTTGTCGAGAACTTCAACCCTTTCAAGTGCACTCATGCCTCACATGTCAAGCATTGCTCATCGAGTACGCTTTGGCCACGGGTAGCATTCTATCCTGAGGCATTTCACAAAGTGCTGCTCATGTCTCTGTTCCCTTTTGCCGAAGCGTTTCAGACACCAGCGCTCCCATGTGTTCCTTCCTTGCCACAGTTCCATCGTGAAAAGGATTCTAAACCCAAAGTTCCTCTTGATGTTCTTATGCATGAGTCTGGGATGAAAGAGGTTAAGCTTCCGGGTTTAGTTCACCGCCTTCTCGATAGAAAAGAATGGTCGGGGCAACCAGGAGCCTACGAGGCAATAAAGAAAGAGAAAGATGGCCTTGTTGATGTTGGGACGTGGCTTGAAGATGAGATAGTGTCCAAAAAGGATGTTCTTGCATGGGCTACTAGGACTTCTAATGTGATCCACTTCGGAAATTTGATGGTCATTTTGTCCGTAAAAGGATCTGAGCTGAGTCCTGATCAGTGGCGCCTCAAAGCAAGAATCGTCTTCAGGGGTGATGATATCAGGGACCAATCCGGCATGTCTGCTGTATTTGAAGAGCTTTTTGCATCATCCCCATCTTCACTTGAAGGGTTGAACACAGCGGTTGCCTTCGGTTTGCTGGAGTCCCATGGCGTGACGACCAGCGATGCCGTACGAGCTTACACACAAGCCAAGCTCAAGACGAAGCACCGCACGTACGTCCTTCTACCTCCAGAGCTAGTCCCGCTCGACAAGAAGCACATATTCCAACCATGCACGCCCCTGCACAAAGCGCTGTATGGGCACCCCGAAAGTTCCGCCTATTGGCAGCAACATCTCCACGAGATTTTGGTTAAGCTAGGCGGGGTTGAGTTTCCCAATCTCCCATCGGTTTATTATTTCAAGTCCCTAGGATTAGTCTTGTGTGTCTACGTAGACGACTTGACTTTGTCTGGACGTCTGTCCCTGCATGACGACTTCTGGCGCTCCCTCTCCAAGGAGGTTGAGCTCGAGCCGTACGCAGCACTGTCAAGGGTACTTGGAAGATGCCACAGATTCGTGTGCTGGCAAGAAAAGAAAGCACTAGCACTTGAATCAACGGATTTCTCAAAACAGTGTGTTCAATTGTACGAGACTGTATGTTCGCTTAAGGTTAAACCTCAGCTTACTCCCCATCTTGACATTAGCACACTACCTGCCGCAGACGACGATTGCCGCGGGCAACTTACCGAAGTTGCCGCAAAAATCTTAATGAAGGTGTTATGGCTTGCAAGGTTAAGTCGGCCCGACTTGATTGTGGCAGTTACAACGCTTGCTTCGCACGTCTGCAGCTGGTCCAAGAACGATGACCGTCGGGTTCATCGATTGATCGGTTACATTCTACATTCAGTCGATTACGCATTGGTTTTGTGCATCAGCGATTCTCCTTCGGATTTACGGTTGTCCCTCTACTGTGACTCCGACTTCGCCGGCTGCATCGACACGTCCCGGTCCACCAGCGGGTACGTGTTGGCTATCGAAGGCCCAGGAAGCTTCGCTTTGTTATCATGGTCGAGTAAACGTCAAAAGGTCGTGTCTCGTTCCAGTACTGAAGCAGAGTTCGTTTCACTAAGTGGAGCTCTGTACAACGATGCAATTCCCTTACATGAAGTCTGGGAGGCCCTCATCCCCGGGATCTGCTTGCATATCTACGAGGATAATCAGGCTTGCATTGCTATCGTCAGAAAGGGATTTAGTTCCAAACTTCGCCATTTAGGCAAAACCCACCGTGTAAACGTGTCATCGACTCGTGAATATGTCAATGACAACTCCAATGTCATCCTGGAGTATATCCACACGAGTGAGCAGAGAGGCGACCCTCTCACCAAAGCGTTGGCAGTCCAGAAATGGTCTCATGCGCTCCAACTGTTGACAATGTCAACTTCCGTTCTACCCTCATATAGCTAAGCTTGGGTTGGATTGGATGTTAAATCGGGTTAAGATGCTGAGCACTTTATGCCCACGAAGCTGAGCTTCACATGTCAAGACCTCCTGGGTGTTTGGCTGCTCCTAGCGCCGCACCAGGATGGTCGTGGAATCAACCGTCACTGACCGTGTCGTGACACATCGGTCAAGAAATCAACGGCAGGTTGTTTTCCTCAGTTCATTAATTCAGTGGATCCACGTGCATTGTATAGTATGTCAGCTTTTGCGATGCAAGAATGTACAGATGTTTCAAGTCAGGAGGGGGGAGTTGAAGATTTACGAACAACCTCCATGTAAAGAAGTGTAGCCTGACTATGTAACTTCTGAAGCCTTAAGTACGCCATCGACTTTGGCTCAAGATGAAAAAGGCGCCGCTGAGCTGTGCCTTCACGTTCAGGGCAGGGTCCTTCTTTTGGGGTTTCCCTTCCCTTCCTCTCCTTTCTTACCCTAACATAGCGTTGTCTCTGTTTGGGGTCAGAATAACTTCTGCATCACGGATTCCTTTCTCCTCGGGGCTCAGGGTATCGGAGGGCTTGAGTATCAGCTGATTTGGTTCAGGTCATCGTTAACTCACAGCAGCTCTGCGTAATATTGCGGTTGGAATCAGCAGAAACCGTTATTTCCCGAAAGTTTCCGTAAAGATAAACCTTTTTTCTAAAGGCGAAAGCTCCCCTTTATGGCGTAATGCTTTCCTCCAAGCGTTTGAGTGAGATTACTGGCATTAACTATATCATAACAAAGATAACAAGAATAACAAGGTTTATAGTAACGAGAATATACAGACACTGAGAAATAGTGACAACAGCAACAAAATAAAGTCACAGTGCATCACATATTATGCTAAACTGCAAAGAATACTAACAGTATGTGTGGTAATGCTACTACCGATAATCGAAACAATAACCTCAGCGAAGTAAACGCAACAATGGTAGTACTGGTGCTAAGACTGTTAACATCTAAGCAGCAGCATGATCCATGTTAGCAGCATCAGCGGTTGCACAGATCGTGATAACATCAGAACTCGTTTGACATGCTTTTCCTGTGTGCTTTCCTCCTGACTGCGTCCCTGCGGGAAGTTCCCTCACCAGAGCTCAGAAGATTTCCAGGAGCGGGTCTTCTGCATCGTCGTTGTGCTGATAGCATTGGTCACTTTCTCGCCACTTTGCCGACTGTGCCGTCGAAACACCCAGAGCGGGTTATGGTTTCATTTTGTGGTAACATTAGCATTCAAGCCCAGGCGACAAGCAATGAACATGACCGCCACAATACCTTGCATTTCCGTTTTGGAGGCTTAGGGTGTGGAGAGTTGCTGCGCCGGTTATCTCAGAGGTTGATCGAGAATTTGCACGCTCCGGAAAGACTTCCGGATGAAACGAGACCACTTGATAGGCGTGACGTTCGGAGTCATAAGGGTGACGGTGGGCTTGAACATTCACAGACCACACTCACGACCACCGCCAAGGTCCTTGGTCAGTTTAATGACGTCGCAGCTGACGAGTTTGCACAACGTGCAAGAGGAGGAGCAGCAACAATTTCGACGCTCGGATTGCTGTTGCTGTTGGCTGTTCGACCGCACAGGCTAGGACCACGGTGCCAAACCGTCCAAGCTTGTCCTTGCTCACTTTGTCTGGCAGAAAAGTCCCTGACACTTCCTTGCAAGAGCAACATTGAGGGTTCGGGGGTTTAATGTTCACTGTTAAGGAAGTTTAGGAGTTACTCGTGGTTCTGCACTGCCAGCAGTCAACTGAACCATAAGTCTTGCGAGCGTCCCTCTTTAAATCCCTTCATACCGAAAGCCCTGAATCCTGAAGCTCTACATGCTCTCCGAAGCCGACACTAGGCTTGCTGCGCAGCTTCCTCCTGCGGAACCACATCGACCGGTCGTTGTCACAACGAGCACTCTGTTTTAGAATAGACCGTCTTTGGGCTTGTCTGGCGGTATATGCAACCCTGAGCCCTAAACTATTGTGGTTTATGGTGTAGGGTTTGGGGTTAAACCGTGAACTGCCAATACCTACTTCTGTCTAGGCTCCCGATACAGCGGAACCCATTGCCTCGCAGCATTTGGAGACCGAAACTCTGTTTGTGGTTGCGGTTGAGGGCTTGGGATTGGAAAGATAGGGTTTAGATTTTCGGTTTGGGGTGCGGTTCGGGGTCCGGGTTGGTTCTCTTAAACCCGGCACCCAGGTGTATGAGGCTTTCGCTTTGGGGTTCTTCCGTGTAGGTGAGAAGAATGGCAAGTGGATGCTAAGGACTTAGGGCTGGTTCATGATGAAGGTAACCCTAAACCCTAAACCGTGGTTTCTGTCCTTCTTTGCCATCGGCGGGGGAGATGCCGCTTGATTTCCTGGTCTGCGCTTTCATTTCTCTTAGCCGGGCTTTTCGTGGTGAGCGTGTCACGTGCCAATGAGGTCACTTTTAGGGTTGAGGGTGTAGGATTCAAGGGCGAGTGGCAGAGGATCTGAAAGAGTGTCGAAATGCCTGCCCAGGCCCAGGCATCTAAACCTCCCTTCCCTGCAACAGTTTTCTTCTTGAGGTAAAAGAGTCAGGTGATACGAGATCTTGAACTGCACCCTGACAAACACACAGCAGAAAGTCTTCCAAAATGAAGCGACCCCCTTACCATTCCTCAAGACCCCCATGAATCCCAGTCACTGTCTTCCTACGATCTTAAAAGCTGAAGACCCGACCTAGGAAGAATTGATCATTTAACTTAGCCAATGGGAGAACTGTATAAACCTTGGCCTTACATAATACATGTGGTCCATCTTCGAAAGTTTGATCTTTTTCGGGTCCGGTTATTGAAGACAAGGGGTCTTTTATTAGTAAGAACCTATGACAGTCAACTGTTTGCAGCTTAGGGCTCGAGGGCTTGGGCTTGAGGGCTCAGGGGTTTCAGGTTTATCTTTTCGTGGCTACTGCTGGGATTCCAGGTCACCAAGTTCCTGCAGCACAGCTACACCATCCAGCGCGAAGTCATTTCAGACTCGCAGGCAGGGCAGAGATTCGGATTGAGGGCTTGAGGACGTCAGTGGCATGGCTCAGAGCTTTGGGTTCAGAATTTCGGGTTGAGGGCTTTATTTAGGGCTGCGAGCTTTGGGTTTCACAGATAAGGTTTAGGGTTTAATTTCGGGCTCAGAGCTTTGGGTTTTGAATTAGGGTTTAGGGCTCAGGGTTAAGTTGGCTGTCTTCGGATGGTTTTTGCTGTGGGATCCTCCTTGGAAAGCCTTGCGGCGTAAGGGTTGGCTTCGGCTTGCTGCATGCCCTTTGCACACAACCAAAACCTTTAATGACCCAAACCCACAAAAAGTAGGTAAAGTGACGGTCCAACACCTACGTTCTAATATAGGGCCCCAAAACCTTATTCTAATTATTAAGGCCCCTATATTATAATACCCATATAGATCCCTTATAGTAACCCTATAGTCCTCTTTAATGGAATTCGAGGTGTCCAGATAAGCCTTGAGGCTTAAAACCCTGCAGACCTGCACCGAGTCTCACCGCGAAGCCTGCTCCCATTGGGTTTATGGGGTTCAGAGTTTAGGGTTTAGGGGCTTTGGGTTTTTCGCGTTGCGATTTTGGGGTTTAGGGCTTCGGGCTTGAGTTTGGAGTGTAGGGTTTATAGGACTTTGGGATGCATGCTGCGGCCTTGAGCCCCGAGATCAGGTGCCCTTGCTGGCTCATCTCTCCAAGAATTTGCAGGGCGAGCTGCAGTACGCGCGGCACCCTTGGTAGCAGAAAAGAAGCCAACAGAACTTGATTCCCGACTTTCCCAAGACACGAGACAAGCCCGCGTGCAAATATAATACAACACAGTATACCATATCATGGTAGAGTGCGGAACAGTCATGAAGCACGTTCATAAGAAATAAACAGGTGTGTACATACTTTTATGTGTGTTTACAGGATATGGAGCCGAACGGTATAACATAGATTACTATATCAGTGTTCCAGTATGTTCCAACTATGACCAAATTAAGAAACTCGAATGCAGTTTAGCACGACTGGTCTCCCGTTTGACCCATCCGCTTGGAAAGAGCTGACATCGGCCCCCAAACCCCTAAACCCGCAAACCCTTGCACCACGCAACCCTCAATCCGAAGCCCCCAAACTTAAATCCTGACACCATATAAACCAAACATCATCAAAACCAGCAGATGCAACCCATGGGATCCATGTGCCCTCGAGCCGCAAGCCCAACGCTTCAAGGCCCAAGAGACATGTCTGAATTTTAGTCCATTCCTTTGTGCTGAGGGAGTGTACGAATAGAGCTGTCTGAATGTCGATTACAAAAAACTGACTGACCCCTCACTTTTTTGACCAACAAAAAACTTTTCCCGAAAGCATCGCGAAGGGTTCTTCCGTGCGGAGCCCTCTAGAGAAGTACGTAGATGACAGACATAGAATCGAGTACATAGATGACATGCATCGAGTGAAGTACATAGAACTATGCTTCTATGTACTTCACTCTATGACTCTATGCACGTGACGCTATGTCACTATGACTATATGACAATGCTATGACTCTATGCACTTGACACTATGGCACTATAACTTTATGACAGTGCTATGACTCTATGCACTTGACACTATGAGTACAATGACACTATGACTTTATGACTCTATGACTGTATGATACTTGACTATGCTTGACTCTATGACTCTTATGATACTTGACTCTACTTGACTCTATACATGACTCTGCTCGACTCTACTTATCTACATCTCGGTATATTAACCTCTGTTCTAAAGCCAGGGTAGCACCGTCGTCATCGATCGGGAATGCAACCCTTCACAGGGATTGGCGTGATCGAGTGCGCGAACGCGAGGTAAAGTTGCTACTTTGAAGCGCTTTTAGGTGCATTGAGGTGCAATTTGCAACCTTTCACAGGGATTGGCAGTTTGCAACCCTTCACAGGGATTGGCATGGTCGAATGCACGAACGCTAGGTAAAGTTGCTACTTTTGATGTGCTTTGAGATGAATTTTGCAACCCTTCACAGGGATTGGCGTGGTCGAATGCACGAATGCGAAGTAAAGTTACTACTTTTGATGTGCATTGAGGTGAAATTTGCAACTCTTCACAGAGATTCGCGTGGTCGAGTGTTCGAACGCGAGGTAAAGTTAACACTTTTGCTGCACATGAAGGTGTGGTAGTAATAGTAGTATTAGTAGCAAAAGAAGTAAAAATAGTAATAGTAATATAGTAGTAATAGTCGTAATACTAGTAATAGTAGTAATAGCAATAGTAGTAATAGCTCTGCACCCAGAAACTTTGAAACCCAGAAGCACTAAACCCAGAACGTTTTGAAACCAGAAGCCCTAAACCGCAGCGCTAAGCCCAGAACCCCTGGAACCAAAAACCCTTAAACCCAGAAACCCTGCACCCAGAAACTTTAAAACCCAGAAGCACTAAACCCAGAACGTTTTGAAACCAGAAGCCCTACACCGCAGCGCTACGCCCAGAACCCCTGGAACCCCCCTAAACCCAGAAGCCCTGAGCCCAAAAACTTTGAAACCCAGAAGCACTAAACCCAGAACCCTTTGAAACCAGAATGCCCTAAACCGCAGTGCTAAACCTAGAACCCCTGGAACCAAAAACCCCTAGTCCCGACACAAGCTGACGGGATTTCAAATACATCGATCTCGGCATTACTATGTACTTCATAATTAGATGCACTTCACTCTATAACTCTCTGGTTCTATGCACTGGATTCTATAACGTAGCGCAAAACTCTTCGCTAATGATGCTTTCGGGCAAATGGTTTTCTAGTTTGTTCAAGTCTAACCCGGTTCAGGCCCCTGGCCTGCTTGTTGTCCAAACGTTGCACCGTCATCCGGTCGGTGCTCGGTGGGATAGCCTGGACGGTTCTTGCAGCGTTGGGGGACGGTTTAGGGTGTGGCGATTGGGCTTGGGGGCACTAAACCCTAGTCCTGGAATCTTCCAGGTACCCAAACCCTAAACCCTAAATCGTCAAGGTACCAAAAGAGCTTGAGTAGCATGGCCTTTGTGGAGGCATTGGAAGGCCCGCCCTGACACAGGAGGTTTACACCTTCGCGACTCCGGGGTCAGGAAGATTGACTAACATAGGGGCCCAAATCATTAC